TAGGCAGCTCATCTGCCCCACTGTGGACCTAGTCCCAGGAACAAACTTTAACACAGGAAGGGGTCTCCCCAGGGGGTGTAAAAGGGCAGGCTGGGGAAAGGGTGATTTGGAGACCTAATTGCTAGGCCCAAACATGTGAAAGGCTTCATAGGGAAGCTAGAATAGATTTATTCAGTGCTATTCCAGAAAACCAAAATGGGGCCAATAACTAGGCCGATTTCAACTTTGAAAGAATACAATTTTTATATAACAAGGGCTGGTATTTATTTTGGTGTTTTGTTTGTTTTTTGTTTTTGTTTTTCTTTTTTTGAGACAGGGTCTCACTATGTAGTGAGACTGCCCTGGAACTCACTACGTAGCCCAGGCTGGTCTTGAACTCACAGCAATCCTCCTGCCTCAGCCTGACAAGTGCTGGGATTACAGGCGTGCGCCACCACGCCCAGCTCGGTATTTATAGAACAGTATACTAAGTGCTTCACATGATAATATCACTCATCCTCACAACTCTGAGGCACTCAAGTGTATCCCTGCCACTGAACAGAGGAGGAAACTGAGAATTAGACAGGACACTGACTGGTGTAAGGTCACAGAGCTGCTTATGTGACAGGCAAGGTTAGAAATCAAACTGATTTGAATCCCAGGTTCTTAACTACAACACCAAGTTAATTTGGAGCTAATTATTTTGAAAAATGTATTAGGATATTATATGTGAGCAAAATCCCTATGGTCATCTATCAGGAGATTCTAAAAAGAGACCTCAGAAAGGAACTAAAACAGTGACCTTTAAGGCGTGATGCTGAATCAAAGTGGCAGGAGAGATTGGCAAAGAGCTAGAAATAGTGAACTCTTCAGCTACTGAGGCCAACAGCCTGGCGCACTAAGAGCTCAGGTCTGCTCGGCCCAACCCAGCAAAACATACAAATATTTGTGATCCATGCGTGCAGTGATAAGAAAGGGCCAGGAAGCACTGGAGAGTGAGAGACTTGGTTTTTCTACCTTATTAGCATTACTACAGATTGGAGTGTGCTATCAGAGCTCACGGACAAGGCCGAATCTGCCGAAGACACTTTCCAGAAACGGGGAGACCAAGCCCATTTCAAGCAGTGTTAGCAGATTCTACAGGGATGGTCCCAGAAGTGCAGGTGATTTTAATGATCAGCCAGGACTGCAAACTGTTCTAGGTGACAGTGCTCAGAAAAAGAAAAAATAATGTAAGTGATGTACAATAAGTTTGCTTTTACACAAATCAGACCACTAGCTATAAAATAAGAGTGATATCATTGAAACCTGGATAAATTTTTTAAATCTCTGGCCTCCCACAGTTCTTAACTATATTATAAACAGTGCTCCAACTCTACTATTTTTAGGTCAAAAGGGCCTTGGATAGCCTATCATGGCTGTTGCAAAGATTGTGCACACTTAGTTTCTCTTTGGTAGATGATGATGGTAACCACCAAAGAAGTCTGAAGCTGGGGAAGTGTAGAACATCTGTAGTCCCAGCACTGTAGGGGGCTGAGGCAGGAGGATTGCAAGTTTAAGTACAGCCTGAGTACCTTAGCAACTTAGTGAGACCACGTACTAAACTAAAACAAGAAAAGAAGCCTATAGACGTAGCTTAGTGTGAAGGTACTATGTTCTATCCTCAGTAGCACCAAAAAAAAAAAAGTTAAAGATGTGAAGAATTAGCGACTTCTACAGTACTTGCTACAAATCATAATGCAATCAAGTCTCAGACTAAATTTTGCATATGCATTAATAAATAAACACTAGCAAGTGGGGAAAACCGTCAACCTGTTTCATGAGATCAGTAATTTCCAACTCTATGTCTTTCCAGGTGTTCCAATAGACCTTGCTTGAAAGGCTCAGGGAGGCAGACAGTGACACTCCCAGGTATGTGCTGTGGTCCATATGAGGAACGCTTGATCAGAAATCCATTGAATTGATGACCAGACACAGCACCTCTTTTAGATCAAGCCCCACGTACCATCCTAATGGCAAGTTAGTTATATATCTACTGTATTCTTGTCACCTGTTCATACATGGGGAAAGGGGATCTCTGAACTATTAAGCCATTCAAGTATTAAGAGTACTTATAATTTCACCAGAGATTGCTTACTATGCTAATTTAGAAGCATATGTATTATGTTACTGTTTGTAATGTAAACCATAGCCATTCTCGCAATGGCCTTGTGCAGGGGGAGTGGCTTAGCACTGAGTATAGTGGGCTCTATCTTACTTTGTGTGTGAAAATACTCTCGGTGACTAAGTATAGGAACTGTGCATATGAAGTTACCTGGTTTATCTGGAAGAGACTGATATTGACAGTGCTTCTAATGCACAAAGCTATGACTCCATTCTTTCCACAATTTATATTACAGACAACCTCGAGCTACCCAGCTTCTGCTTACTTACTCCCAGGGCCATGACAGCACGCCTTCTGGGCTGACATCAGTGAAACTCCCAAGCATAAATGGCAAAGAATGAGTGAATTTTCTATGACCAATTGGTTATTTGTTCTTGATGCTTACACCTACAACATCCCTGATTTAAGGAAGGTAAATTGATTACTTAGCATCATCTTCAAATTTTTTGTCTTTATTTATAAATCCAGCTTATAGTAAACTTTAGGACACTGCCAATAAAATAATATTTCTGAAAAAAATTAATAAAACTCATAGTATTTTGAGGTTTTTTTTTTTTTTCTGAGACAAAGTCTCAGTGCATAGTGCAAGCTGGCCTTAATATCACTACATAGCCCATACTGGGCTCAAACTCACAGCCATTCTCCTGCCTCATCCTCCTGAGTACTACAATTATAGGTATATGCCACCATGCCCAGCCTTAAAGCCCATAGTATTCATAAATTATTCTATGAAAGCAAACCTACATTTTTACCAGTTCCCAGAAGAAGATTTTCAAGTTTCCAGGTTTTTTAAGCCTATAGTCAACATGTAAAGTAAGATAACGAGAAAACACGATGAATGTTTAAACTTTTTTTTAATGTTACAGTAAAAGGCACATTGCCATTAAACACCACCCCGTCCCTCACCCCCACACTCACGCAAAGAGATTTCCCCTACCTTCTAATGCACTTATTCCACAGTTCTGGTTACTTTCTAGAGCAGTTCTGTGAATCCTTCTTTGTGAATATCTTTAGCTGTGCCATCGGGGCTGCCTGAATGTCCTGAGCCAAATCAAAATGTTTACCTTTCATGGTCATTTTGACTTTGGGTAAGAGCCAAAAGTGCACACAGTGCCTGCTCCAGTGCAGGAGAACACACCGTCATGTTTTCGTAAGCCTCCCTTTCCATTAGATGACACTCAATATCTACTTCCTCCGTGGTTTCGATCACACCTCCTAAAGACACTCATGGAAGAGGGCGTCCCAAAATGCTTCAGAAAGTTGCAAGAATAATGGGACAACTCTGTTGGAAGTGAGGAGTATTGGGGTAGGATGAACATTCACCGTATATGTCGATCACAGCTTACATAAACAGATTCAAAGAGATGGCCAGGTGGGGAAACGCCTGGACAGACGCTAGGCAAACGTCACAATACACTCACACTGAAGGCCACGGGTGGAGTCACAGCGTGACCAATGACATTTTATCCAGCCATAGTGGTATGCTCTCCGTTCAGAAACTGCCATTTAATAACTTATGTAAAGGTGCAAATTTCCAATGATGAATGTCACTACATTGTATCCCTTAAATGTACCAATAAAATTAATTTTTAAAATAACTTCCCAAAATATTTTCTGAGATAAAGTAAAAACAGAAGCCATGACTTAGCTCTAAAACTGGCTACTGTACAGCCAAAAGCGACATGCAAGAGGAAGGAAAGGAAAACTCCACCTTGTCTTTGGTAGAAGAGGCAGGACTTTCAAGGTTAACTCCACGAGACATTATCCCCTTCCTATCTTAAACAACAGCAGCATCGTTTAAGGTGAGCTAACCCTTCTCCGAGGCCTCAAGACTAAGGAAGCCTGACTAGAGAGAGCGTGCATTCAGGCTTTTGTGGGACGCAGAGTCTTATACTGCTCTCTGCTTCTGGGTGTGCCATCGACCCAGTATGATAAGAACAAATCACTTCATCTTGTTGCTGGGCTTTATATGAGCCATGGGTGCCATTCAAATCCGTTCCCTAGAATGCTCAAGTATACTGAAGAAACCAATTAACTCTGGCCAAGAACAAAACGGTCAAGGTGCAAGGAGTGCACCGGGATCGTTACTGATTCAAAGTCCGATGTGTGCTAAAAGCCCGTGATAGGAAATTTAATATTTAATTCCCTGATTTTTTTTTTTTTAAGATCTCAACTGCACAACAGATAACTAAAGTTTTCAACAGCGGAACAGCAAAGTAAACCAGAACATCCTATAACCTGCTTCACTGGAGATTTCCATGTAAGTTAAAATGTGTGACTTCTATTCAAACATACAGCAGAAAAATTAGATGTTTCGTACTGTAGTCAGTGGAGCTGGATATGGAGAAGCAAAACAGGAGCAAAATGGAAAAGGGGAGCAAGAAAACTCAGAAACCCAGAGAAGTAACATTTTAAGGAAACACTTTTAAAACTCAAAGTTTACAGACAGCAATGAGGAAGATACCACATTTAAAAAGTAATTTTACACAAAGAAACATCATACAGAATAATACATGAGCCAGATACAAGAGGAAAAAGAATCAGTAGTACTGATCTTGTCTATTTAAATTTTTTATCTGGGGTTCATCATGGAATTTTTTTATGAATTTTGAACCTCAAATACTACATTAAAATATCGCTTGAGATTTCTAGACCCCTTTACATTTCGCAGACCCGGTAGGTGCCTCTCTCCCCCTACCCCAGCCCCTGGGACCCGGGGTTCAGTACCAGGTCCTAGAAAGGCCGCAGGGCCCAGCGGGCCGCCGCGGGGATCCCGAGCGCCTTGGGCCGGGTGGTCCCCAAGGCAGGGCAGGCCGAGGGCCGAGCGCCCCTCCTGACTGCGGGAGCCCCAGCCTACCTCGCTTGTTCTGCGTGCCGTGCTTCTTGGCCAGGGCGAGCTCCCTCTGGATCCGGGTCTCCAGGTACTCCTGTTTCTTGCCCAGCATCTCCTCGGTCTCCCGAAGTCGGGCCAGGGCCTCCTGAGGGCTGGGAGCAGCTCGGCCCTTGGAGGAGCGGCCCCCATTGAAGAACTTGCCCAACTTGCTCATGGCTGTGGAGTTGGGAGCCAGCGGCCCGGGGCTGGGCGCCTGTGCCAGGGGCCAGGTGAGCAGGACTGTCCACGCGGGGTCCCACACCGAGGAGCCGGCGCTCCTGGGAATCAACAAGTCTTCGGGGCAGGTGACACACACCCCTGGG